GTAAACTGGAGGAGCAACGCCTGATATTTCACCTTGGGAGCTTACAGCCCAATGGTCTTAACATTGACTTCACCAGCATCAAAATCCCTCTGCCCCAGCCTTACCCCACGTCCAGTCCTCCCCCTCCTGACCTAATCCAACCTGTCCATCTTCCTACTCACCCATCTGTCGACCAATCACTCTTACCCCTTACCTGCGTCCACCTATCACCAACCCACCTACCCTTCCCCTAGCCTGACCTCCCTCCTTCTATTTATTTCTGGGCTGCCCTCCCCCTCCCCAGTCCTGACGAAAGGTTTTGGCTTGAAACGTTGACTTTCCTGCTCCTTGGATGCTGTCTGACCTGCCATGCTTTTCCAGTCTCACACCTGTAGACTTTGGCTTCCAGGATTTGCAGTCCTTACTATCTCTAAATACATGAATAACATCTTTTCAATTTGTCCACATATTACAAAGTTGTGACCTCTTACAGTAAAAAGCATAAAGAAAATATTGGTAGTTATTTCTATAGAAACTTAGCAATGCTTTTCTGCTTGGTGTGCTGTCTCCAAACAAAGTGTGGTACAATCGACTCTATCATCAATATAGTCAAACATGTTTCATGTAGTAGTGCAATGTCTCAGAGTTTCTCAATGCCCTTTATGGCTCTAGCTGAAGAAGTAGGCAGGTGAGCATTTATTGGACACTTCTGGGTCATTGCCCTCTTCACTTGAAGAGCCTACAAGAGTGTCCATGCTCTTGGGCTGTAAGTATGGTGCAGTCCACCTCACTGTCAGTTACTGCTGGAATTTCCTTACTGTCCACCTGCCGACAAGTGAAAAACGCTTCATCATTGAGTTGGTTGGCCTCACTTTGCACCTCCTCACTTTGCACCTCCTCGCTTTCACTGTCGTGCGCTGTTGTAGACCATTTGACTCCAGTGTGGCAAAAGGAGGAGGCAATTGTAGCTTCATTTGTGATCTTCCACACCTTCCTCATCTAGAACAGTTGGGCTGTACTCTTGCTGCTTATCAATGGTATTGATAACTTGTCAGGAGTGGGTTTCCATGTTCCTAAGACTCAGGTTCCATTAGTTGGAGCTTGGACGTGGAGATAGAAGGTAAGCTTGACACTCTTGAGGCCAGTGATGTTGGAGTGTTTGAGGTAGTTGTCTGTAATGATGATAATCGCATTGATACACTTTGTCCATTTACCCGACCCATACCTCAAAAATGCTAGAGGTCATCCGGGTGGTTTTCTTGGCCTTCCATTGTGTGGATAGGGTGTTGATATTCAGAAAGCAGCATGACTTGTTCCACTTTCCCATCACAAGAAGCGACAGCATTTTGATGCCATTCATATAGGGCGGCACGGTGGCTCAGTGGTTAGCACTGCTGCCTCACAGCACCAGGGACTCGGGTTCGATTCCAACCTTGGGTGAACTGCCTGTGTGGAGTTTGCACATTCTCCCCGTGTCTGCGTGGGTTTCCTCTGGGTACTCTGGTTTCCCCCCACAGTCCAAAGATGTGTAGACTAGGTGGATTGGCCATGCTAAATTGCCCGTAGTGTTCAGGGATGTGCAGATTAGACGGATGGGTCTGGGTGGGATGCTCCAAGGGTCAATGTGGACTTGTTGGCCCGAAGGGCCTCCTTCCACACTGTAGGGATTCTATGAACTTCTGTGATATTCTCACAGATCACAGCAGTGACATGTTCCTTCTTTCGCTTTTCACCATTAGACATTGGATCTTTAAACATCAGCGAGGGATTTGGCAAAAAAGATGGAAAAACCGTTCAATTTCATCCATAACAAAAGTGTCTCTTCGTGCATATTCATTCAGGACTTGGGCAAGACTATTTTGCAGCCAATCATCTGTCATTGCCGTAACTGCTGCACCCTCCCAACTTGATGTGCTGGCGATATTGCGATATGTCGCTTTGCATTGGTCCAACCATCCATCGCTGCAGGTTAGCTGTTTGTAGCTCAGCCCCTTTGCCAGAGTGACTCACCTTTCTTGCAGGATTGGACCAGAGTACGTTCTCTGCTTGAACTGTGTCAGCAGAGTTTCTTCAGTATTGGGATAGGCAGCTCTTCTCATCCTTCCTGGAGAGAGTGTCTGCCCATTGAGCTATGTTCACCTCGTGCTTCAGATTGGCTGACAAATTTGATTGTGGAATCTCCCATTCCTTGGCAATATCCACTTTTCAGTCTGTGCCATGGTTTATCAAGTTCACATTCTCTCTGATTGACACCAGTTTTAACTTTCTCACAGGTTTAGCTGCACTTCAGTCCCCTCGAAGAGGGAGCTCTTGATGGGAAATGATGGCCTGCTCAGAGGTTTATGATTTTGTACTCCAGCATAGCCTAACTTTGCTTTGATTGACAACATGGTCATATGACAAGCTGGAAGAGTTTGATTAAACCAGAGCTGTCATTCCAGAATTTCGGCTTGTGACAGGCATCATTTTCTTGGATTTGCTATTCTGCTGCCAGGAATGGCTGACAACTTTAATACAACTGGAATTTCAGGTTATCTGAAATTGACTCATTGTCTTTTCACTGTACATCAATTGTAATGATCTAGAGATTATTACCTTTGCAGTTTTGTTTTCTAATTTAGCTCCTGACTGCTCTTAGCAGAATCTCTTTTTCCTATTCTCATTCTATATCATGGACCAAAACAATTAAATCCTTCCCCTCTCTGTTGCTGTCCAGCCTTGAGCAGATCATAGAATCGCTACATTGTGGAAGCAGGCCATTTTGGCCCAACTAAGTCCACATCATCCCTCCAAACAGCATCCCACCCAGACCCACACCCCTACATTATCCCTGTAACCATACATTCCCCATGGCTAACCCACCTAGCCTGTACATGCCTGGACACTATGGGCAATTTAGCACGGCCAATCCACCGAACCTGCACGTTTTTGGACTGTGGGAGGAAACCGGAGCACCCAGAGGAAACCCACGCAGTCACAGGGTGAATATACAAATTCGACACAGATGGTTGCCCGAGGGTGGTATCGAACCTGGACCCCTGCCGCCATTAGGCAGCAGTGCAGTGTTAACCAGTGCTAGCCGTGTCTTTAACTCTGCCACCAAGTGAGCAACACAGCCTTTGCTCTTGGTGCAGAAACCTGGCCTGTGCTTACTGTCAACCTGGCTTGGAAATGTTTGTAAATTGGGGAGTCTTTGTAATTTTTGAAATCTTTAACATTGATCATAACTCTGGGAATGACAATTCCAATTCTTTTAAATCTCCCTAACAGTCCCCTGTAGCAAGGTGCTGTGATGGAGCTTGTTCATCCGTCTGTGAACCTTGCTCTCAACCACAAGGCTGCAACAGTCTTGAACCTGTTGGCCAAGGATTGAAGAAAATAGGTCAGCTCAGCTAAGAACAAAGCCAACAAGGCACAAGTAAGGTGTGGGTGAGGTTGGGAAATAATCAAAATGGAGGACAATGTTGATGCCTAGATGGTGGAAGAAAATGCTTGTTTAAAATGGTGATTGAAGTCATGATTAAGCAGGATGCTTTATCCTGGATTCTGTCCATTTTCTTGAGTATCATTGGAGCTGCACTCATACAAGCAAGTGGACAATATTCCATCATGACTTGTACCTTGTAACTGGTGGACAAACTTTGGGGAGTAAAGATGTGAGTGACTCACAGCAGAATGACCAGTTTCCAACCTGTTCACTTGACCATCATATTTCTGGTCTGGTCCAATTCAGCTTCTGGTGAATGGTAATCCCCAGGATGTTGATGGTGAGGGATTCAGTAATAATGTTGAATATCGATCAAGGGGTGATGTTTGGATTCTCTTGTGTTGAAAATGGTCAGTGCTTAGCATTTATGTGGCCCAAATGTCGTTTGCCTAGACATGAAATGTCTTTGAGATCTTGTTGCATATTCTCACAGTCTGCTTCATTGTCTGAGGAGTTGTGAATTGTGCTGAATGTTGTCCAGTCATCAGTGAGCATCCTTACTTGGCAGGAAGACCACTGACGAAGCAGTGTGTTTGGTTTAGGACATTGCCCTGAAGAACTACTGGCGATGCTCTGTGACAGCGATGATTGACCTGCACAAGCACAATCACCATCCTTTGGGCCAGGTATAACTCCTGCCAACGGAGAGTTCCCCCTGCCTCCGACTCCCATTGACACCAGTTTTGCTAGGGCAACTTAATGCCATATCTGGTTACGTGCTGCCTTTGATGTCAAGGGCTGTCACTCTCACCTCACCTTTTGGAAGGAAGCTCTTTTGTCCATGTTTGCATCAAAGTTGTAATGAGATCAGGAGCTGAATGGCCCTGTTGGAAACCAAACTGAGCATAAGTGAGCAGGTTATCACTGAGCAAAAGCTGCTTGATAGCACTATCAATGACCCTTTCCATCACTTGGCTGGTGATCCAGAGTATCCTCCTGGGGTGGTAAAGGACGGGATGGATTTGTCCTATCTTTTGTGGGCAGGGTACAACTGGACAATTTTCCATATTGGCCAAGCAACCCTTGCTGACCTAATGTCTCATTTAATTCTCCTTCCATTTTTTTCTCAGCTTATCTTGTCTATTCCGTACACCTTTTATTTAATCTCTCCTAAATTAATTTATGCTATTTTCTTCAACTATGGCAGCAAGTTCCACATTCTTATTGCTATCTGGCTAAAGATGTTTCTTATGCATTCTCACTTTGCTTTCCTTGTGCCTGTCTTTAAATTAATGGCTTCTAGTATTGCTGTTCTCCGTAAGTGAGAAACATGCTGTATAGATACTGTATCAAAACTTTTCATTACTTTAAAAACTTGATAAGGCCATTTCTCAGCATTCTCTTATCAAGCAAATGTCCATCCTCTCTCAATTGGTACAGCCTCATTTCCGCGATCATCCTCGTCAATCTTTTCTGTAGCCTTTCCGGTGCTTTTTCAAAAATAATATAACAATTGGAATTGTATTTCCAGTGCAGTCTAGCCAAAGTGTAATACAAGTTTGACATGCTTTCATTTGAATTCTATCTCCTTTAGAACAGTGGTTGTCAAACTGTAGTCTGTGGACCACTGGTGGCCTTTTGCAGGAGAACAGGCCAGAACTCTCACCCCATTGTTCAGGAGCCAGCTACCGACCAATATAACGTCAAGATTTGGGGCTGAAATGAAGAAGACGAACTGACTGAATGTGGTCCCTGGCAAAATTCTTTGAGGAGAGAACCATTACTCTTGAAATAATATCGAGCGTGAGGTTTGGTTTTTGTAAATGGCCTTGTAAACCTCTGTTGCCACTTTAGTGAGTTAAGTATTTTCTCCCAGATTCCTACTTTAAAAATAATATGCGACTTCCTATTTTCAACTTTTATCAACAAGCTTCAGTTACAATTAAACTGAGGATTGATCCGACCATCTTTGCTATTAGCCCTCCTGGTAATGGTTGAACATTCTTACAATAATGAGTGTATTTGGGTTCAGATGCCCATTAACTGCATGGACCAGCTCTCATATGTTTTATCTTTGTGAACTGAGCAGGAAAAATCTGCTTCTTAATTTGAATGTATGCTGTACGTTTGTAGATAGTGTGCAAGAACTCTTTTTGGCATCTGTTGCAAGTTTGCTTACCTGAAAATGAACTTGAAGGTCTCCCCACATTCTCACTCCAGCTTGCCTCATTCGGTGCTCCCCATGTGTTCCAGCTGGTGTTAACACAATGAATCAATTTTCACTGACATCTAACCTAAATAATTACGATGTTGAACATTCAATTCTGTTGTCCTTTATCCTGGCCTGAGTAAACACTTGAATTAGCAATATTGACTAATTGTCCTTTTGAATGTTCCTGTCAAAGAATAAGAGTTTCTGCAAAACAGGACTTTGGAGTATTATTGCGACCATGCATGAATTTCCACAAACGACCACTTAATGTTCAACTAACAATGTCCAAGGACAATGCTTGTTCCTGTGGCATATCTCTGTTATTTGCTGTTCTGCCTCCAGGAATGGCTGATAAATGGACCTTCTAGCCAAGAGGTAGGACGCTACCACTGTACCTCAGCACGTCCAAAGTAAATTAGCAAAATAATTTACGTAATTATTGCATCTACTTGGAAAGTAAGTCAGGGACTGTGATTTGCTTTGGGATGTCCCAAGTGTCAGTGGAGCAAGAGTTAAGCTGCTGACCTGGGTTACTTGTTAATTAAGTGACTGAGTAACCTAATGGGTGGGGGGGTGCGGGGCGCAGGGCGCGGGGCGGGGTGGGGTGGGGTGGTATTCTTTATTCCATTTTAACTGACTGAACTTAAATTCCCCAGTTGCTGTGGTAGGAGTAGTAACCGCTGTGCCCAAAGTTTGATGACTATCTCTTAGTTCAAATTCATAGCTTTTTCCCACCTGCTTTCTGTTTGGCTTATTTCCTTAATCAATAAAACTCAAAGGTTTCAGAACTGGCTGCCATTTGGAAAATTGTAAAAAGTTATATAATATTTTTGCATTGATTGTAACCCAAGTAAATCTCAAGTTAAATATGTTAAGTTTAGACTTTACATTTCTGTAAAGGTTAAGAGGTGATTAATTTGCTGTGTATTTTGTTTTGTATTACCGAATCTTCTCGAAACCTTCTACCAAGACTTTGATGGAAAGAAAAACATTCCTTGAGTTATAAACACATCCAAAAGCAAAACCAAAGAGCCTGTTCAATGTTATACATGAAATCAGGACAAGTTATCCTCTAAAATCTTGTTCATGCTACCATGGGCAGCACGGTGGCTCAGTGGTTAGCACTGCTGCCTCACAATACCAGGAACTTGCGTTCAATTCCACTATGGGTTATCTCTGAGTGCTCCGGTTTCCTCACACAAGGTCAAAGATGTGCAAGGTCAAAAATCACACTACACCAGGCTATAGTCCAACAGGTTTATTTGAAAACATGAGCTTTCGAAGCTCTGCTCCTTCCTCAGGTGTAGTGTGGAAGTGGAGGTATACCAACACACAATTTATAAGCAGGAAGGTAACAATTCTAAAAATGGCTCACTGCCTCCTGTTGAATCTTTAATCAGTTAAAAAGGAGATGCAGGTTTCTATTGATTAAAATGCAAATCCCAGAATTTCTTTCACGTCATTGCCCCAAGATAATTAAAGGTTTTCTCAGTGTATTCAAGAGGTGACATCTCAGGTCAGACAATGCATTTTAGGTGTGAGGCCTTGTTATAGAATCTGTCTGTTTTTTTAACCTGGAGTTAGGCTGGTTTTGTTTTTTTGAACAAAATAGAATGTATCTGCAAATACACAAACATGTTGGAAAAAAAATTTACCTCATAGATTTATATATATATATATATATATATGTGTGTGTGAGAGAGACAGAGTGTGAGTGCGTACGTGTGTATGCTTGACAGAGTATGTGACTGTGTGTGTGTGTGCACCTGTGTTCTTGAGAGTATGAGAGTGTGAGGAAGAGTTATGTATGTGAGAGAGAGAGGGTCTGTGTGTGTGTGTGAGAGAGAGAGAGAGAGAGAGAGAGAG